CTCCCTCCCTCCCTCCCTCCCTCCCTCCCTCCCTCCCTCTCTTCTCCCCTTTCTCTCCTATATACAGAGAATTATACCTAGAGCCTCATGCATGTTAGGCAACAACTTTATACTTAATTATGTCCTCAGTCCTTCCACTTTTTCACTTGTAAATTTTGAAACAAGGTCTTGCTAAGTTTCTCAGGCTGGCCTATTCTCCATGTAGACTAGGGTGGTCTTGAACTTATGATATTCATGCCTCAATGCTTCTAGCATCTAGGATTATAGGCCCACTACTACATGTGACTCTAGTATACAAGCTGATGAAAGAAATACCATTTTGGTAATTCTAGACCCCAAACATGAGAGTGTACAAAGTATTTGACTTCTCTGCTTATATAAGCATGGATGAAATAAAACTAATAGATGAAAGAAGAATCATAATCTTTAGGAAAGTTTTTGGCAAAAGCTCAATTTTTCTTCATTTTGTAAAAACAGACTATTTTCATTTCTAGTTGAAACAAAAAAACTCATTTGCTAATGCTATACTTATCCCAAGTTACAATTCTACACAACTGTTTTCTCTGTATCTTTAACATGAGTTATCACTTGTACTATTTTAGAATTTGTGATCGTGTGAATACTACCATGCTTGTTACCTGAATTGTTCATTTTACTTTTGCTAACTTACCTTAATGTCTTCTTCAATGTTTCCTTAGTATTTTTATGCTGCAGGTGAGCTCACTGGGACTGTGGCAGTCTCAGGGATATTGATAGACACTGTGGAAGCTTCAGGATTGGCCTCAGCATTTATCACTGACTCTGTGGTAGGAACTGGTGTGGACTCAGTAGGAGCAATGGTATTGATAGTTGGAATGGCAGTGTTATCATGATCTTCGTTTGTAGGAATGGCAAGAAAGGATGGGCTTGGAACAGGATGAGGTACTGCGACAGGCTGGGGGAAATTTGGCATTGGTTGCCATTTGGAGATTTGGGCTGGAGATCTAAGCAGAAGTAGTTTCATAACAAATGGGTAATACACAGATGGGCTAACAGGCACAGATGGCCTGTAGTGATAGTAACTGGGTTCATAAGACTTGCGGTTCAGGACAGAGAGGACTGGTGTGTACAGGACTCTCTGCTCATTGTACACAACTTGATTCTTCTCAGGGCACTATAGAAAGAGAAGGTTATACAGAAAGGTTCTGATTGTTAATCAAAATACAAAGCAACTTCAGTAGCTACTGAAATAATGCTGTATTTTTGTGTTGAGCAAATGGAGTATTGAAAGAATGGAATCCTGCATCATTATTTGATCAAATTTAGATATATACATCTCATGAATGATTTTCATCATGTGTAACAACATAGAACTAATATTTGTTTGTTCTGAAGAAAGTAGGTCATTAATAATGTTAAATATGTTTCCCCATATGGAAATATGGCATATATGGAAAGTACTAACCAGGCACTACATATTTAATTACAGCCCTAGAAAAGTCTAATAGAGAACTTTACCCTGCTATATACAAACACACACAATGTAAACAAACTCATATGGATAGATCAATGCCATCGTGAACTACATTATTATATATAATTGATACTTGCTAATTAAAATTCTTAATAAAATAAGAAGGAACGTTTGTTATTATGTAGGCTTGTAGGGAAGGGAAAGGATTCATTTTATGACTTAAAATTTCTTCCTATTACTCAAGGAGAAAACCAAAGTTCTTAACATGCATTTGGCTACAGTGAAGTACAATGTCAACAGGTAAATGAAAGTAACTAAATGTAAAACTCATTGTAATTTTTAAAAGTAATTCTGATCCGAAGAATTTACTCTACAAAACTGTCTAATAGACACCCGTCTACATTTAATAATTAAACAAGTGCTCAACACTCCAAAATTTTATAATCTCAGTGACAAGAGAGAGCATACTACTCTCTAGATTGACTCCTTCTTTGTTTTATATTTTTATTTTGCTGCTGACAGATGAAGTTACTGAAATTTCAGAATGAATGTGAAAACAAAGCATACACATAGCTACTAAACTACAATGAAAACTAGCTTAAAAGAAACAGAACCTTTCACATGGTTAACCTCAAAACATAAAATGCAATTCTGTGTCATGGAACTAATTACGGATATGGGTACCTGGGAAGGAGTTGTCTAGCCCACACAGGATGAAGAGTGTCACAAAAGAAAGGAATTTGAGTACTAAAAAAAGTCTGGAGGTCTTTTAAACTTGTTGAAACGTTTAAATATTACTTAGCTTTAAGACAAGAGACATTTTGATATGATTGAGTTTTTTAGAATATTGTGCTTGGAGTTCATGTCTCTAACAGAGATGATATCAACTTACATTTGAATCTGGATTTTGCACCTGTGCAGCCTAAAGAGTCACCAAAAAAAAAAAAAAAAAAAAAAAGAGAAATCATGAGAAATATATTAACTATTTAAAGTCTTTAAATATTTATTACCTATGGAGACTGTGTAGGAGGGATAGAAATTTCATCAAAAAGGATTTCTAATCCTAGGCTAGGATTCTTAGACTTACTGTTTATGAATTGTATTTACAGTATTTTCTATTTTTTAAAGTCCAGTCATTGCCTGCCTCCTGATCCACTCTCCCACAGTTCCTCGTCCTATTCCTCCTCCCTTCTTTTCCAAGACAATGCACCCCTGCCCCCGTCAGGCCTCCCCTCTCCCTGGGGCCTCAAGTTTCTCCAGGGTTAGGTGTGTCTTCTCCCACTGAGGCCTGACCAGGCTGTATTTTCTAACTTAAAAATAAGTTTCTAGAATATAGAAATTTGAAAGGCTTTCTCTGCATGATAAAAGTATGTATTACGGTAACTAAATACATATCTATGAAATTATTTATTTTGTAATACAAGTAAATAAACTGGTAATCAGCTGTTATGCTTCTTGAATGACCTATATTTTGATATTCATATAACTAGAATCCTTAAATAAAATTTATTTGACATCTTACCAATAAAATTTTAAATGAAATTGACTCACCAAAAAAGGCAGAGTTAATGCCAGAATATTCACAACTACGATAAAATTCCTCATTGTTGCACCTAAAAATTAAGTAAAAAACATGAAATTCAGACTCTTTGATTAACAAGTTCAAAGTGACTGTACATAATGTTTTCCTTGGGGGAGGTAGAGGAAACTCTGAATTTATGGGTAGATTTAGCCAGTGCAGAAAATCTATTTTTTAGATAAAAGAAACACTGAACGTGAAATAAAAATTAGTTTAAACTTAATTTTTGACCATGATAGTATCATTAAAATATAATCATCTCTTCATTTGATACAAATCTACTGGGGATAAATGCTTTGCCAAACGTTGAGATTATGGAAATAGAACTAGGTCTTGGCAACAAACCGCATGGGCTCTTCTGGATGAGGGATTTGCTATATGCACAAAGCTTTGAGAACATCCATAGACACTCTGACTGATGAGATGTCTGAGGAAGATAAAGTTATAAAGTTTAGAACCTAAAATGTAAAGATTTCGGTGTTTTGTGTTACAGAACATGGCACGGCTCAATTAGCTGAAAACCATGCAGTGTGCGAAGACAAGGGCCTTGAACCTGGGCTCTACCATGACAGTGTAACGATCGGGAAATAATTTCCTCCTTCTAGGCCTTACATTTGTTACAGGACCTCAAACTGGGTCATGTCAAACATTCTGTGACCCTTAATTAATATATAAGCCATGGGATGGAACTTTTGGGAGGCAGCATTTGTCATAATATAAATTTATGTTTCCAGTAATATAAATGATATGATCCATATAGCTGTTTTAATGCAGTATAGATAAGGCAATTTAAACATCTTTGAGCTAGTTAAAGACACCAGTTAGTCTATTTCTAACAGAGTCACAATGCTCATCTGCTCATTTAATTTTAATGGTTCTTAGATAATAACACAACACTTCAAACTTCTAATATGTAAATATATATTGTATTTGTGATGGGAATTCTATGTCTTACTGAAGCTATTATTTCTGGTACACTCATATAAACATGAGTTATGGAAAAATAAGCTTCATAAGTGGCACAGAATCAACACCCGTATGGCCCCGCCCTGCAGGAGGGAAAAGGAACGAATATCAAACCCCGTTTACCTTTCCTGATGTGAGCCTCAGGTGATTAGAAAGACTGTTTGCTAAACTGACTTCAGAACCACCTCTAAGAAATCACTGAGTTGCAAATACCTCATGTATAATCAAGTTTGAATAACCTAAGCAAAATGTTTCCTTGAGAGGAGAGAGTTCCTTGTTAAATTCATTATTTTCTGGTTACTTTTTCAAATCATTACCTGAAAAATAATATTTCTTTGCGTAAATCACAGGTTCCTCTTCAATAAAGAATATATTTTAATAATTATTTTATTTTTATATTAACATTTTATTATAGGTATAATATTGCAATTATATAACATATATAGATATATGTAATATTATACACATTAACATTAGATGATAAGAGCTCCTTTTCAGTAGAAAGCTAAAATTTTACTTTATATATCAGATACATACTAGAGAACGTTTGTGTTTGTCGCTGTCACTTTCTAAGGAGACATGATTTTTGAAAATATGAATTAAGTCAGCTTTGAAAGACATGCTATAATAAATGTAATATAAAATAAAATATATAATATATAATAAATAAATATAATAAATACAAATATAATAAATGTAATAAATATAACAAATATAATACATATAATATAATGTAATATAATATAATTAATATAATATAATATGTAATTATACTATAGTAAAAGGAATTATGAGGTTTAGGTAGAGATAAGATTTGAAGGTAATTTTGGACTATTCTGAGTATTATAGTTCTACCTTTCTGAGAAATTAGCCCTCTCTCTCGAAAGCAGTAGTAGGCTTATTATAAATACTAGAATTAACAATGTCTCTTATAATTTGGCAGTATCAAACCTAGACTTTAAGACAAGGCAAAGTTAATTGTTTTTTATCACAACAGTATCTAAAGTCTCATATCTAAGTTAGACATTCATATTGAAATGAGACCTAGATGTTTTTTAAGCTTAGCAATGAAGAATAAAAGAAAGAAAATGTGATTCCAAAATAACCTTGGTGGTTTCCCAGGTAGCTACTCTACATCATCACTGCCCTGGGCAGACCTTTAGTTACCTTTACTCCGAGTCAATTCTTGCTTGGCAGTAGGTTTTGCCTGGTCTCTTAGCAGCAGAGAAGACCCAAGATAAATAACCGAGACTAATTATAGGGTATTAGTACCAGGAGTCAGATCCCATTTCCCTCCTACTTTTCACCCAATAGGATGATGATGGAAAGGGAAGATTTGAGGTCACCAGGGTCACCTGCAGGTCAGTCTTAGTCAGCACACGGCAGACCTGAAACAGATGTGACTCATGAGCCTGCAGGGAAAACAACCAAACTCCTTAAAGAATGAGTGTTCTGTGCTTTGTAAAAATATAGGAAAATGTATAAAGAGGCACTAGTTACATTCTTAATCGACTTGTTTCATCTAGTTGAAGCTAAAGCTACTGCTAAAATAAAATAAAAACCCAATAGCCACAAGTATTTTTCACATTTTAAGTGTTTTTACTCGAAGTACTATGATTTCAAGCGATTTTATATTTAGTACAGTCCATGTTGGTCATTTTTTCTTACAAATTTACAACTACTTATTAAAAAATTAACAGTCTTAATTATGTGTGCTTTTTGTAAGTTAAATTCATGCATGAAGCATTTTCATCAATGTGAAGGTTGAGCATTTACCTTTTGGTTTCAGCATGTATTCCTCAACTGTTCAAACACTGAATGCAGACTGTTTTTAGCGACCATTAAAGTGTCCCATTTTGAATGCACAATACTAAGTTAGAATAATTGTTTTATTTTAAAGTCAGATCATTCCGATTTAGAACATGGATTGCAAAACTGCCAATGCTGTAAAAATTTTAGTAAAATGTAGCCAAACATGTACTTTGCCTAAATGATATCCTGCTTTACCCGTCCACCCTGCCCCTCACCCCTGGAAATGCTAACTATAACTTCACATGTGAAAACCTCATGAGATGGACATATTTACTGGAATCCAAGTAGAACTGCCAAAATGGAAACCAGAAATACTATCAGCATTGTAGAATCTTTATGTATTCCTGTCTGTTTCTGGGAAGTATTACATGTCTTAGAGAGCTGGGAACACTGTTCTGATCCCAAGAATACTTGTGCAGCTTCTCCACAATAAGCCCAGGCTTTCTATTTCTTAGAAGTTTGTTTCTGTTGCTCTTTCTCTGCTGCACACAGTGTACCAGCAGCCTGTATATGTCTGTAAGTGCTAAGTCATCCTATTGCCTCAGGATCTCAAGGGCTTAGTGGTAAATGCGGATGTATGTGGCCTGGTCAGTCCTCAGATTCTGAAGATGCTTTATTCCACTCTGTTCTTTCTCAACCATCAAAGCAAGTTTTAAGCTGTTTCATTATTTGGTTAAAAAAACAAACAGAAAAAGACTCAAACTTTTTTTTTTTTTTAAAAAAATATTACTTCAGAAGGGGAATATGTGTCCAGAATAGCTGTGAATTCTGGGAACCTTCTTTCCAGAAAAGCATTTCTGGAGTAGATTAACTGGTCATTTCAAATGGAGGTCCTTGCAAAGCTAAACTGTATCCTCTGATCTACATGGATTGTTCAGGTCATGTTTCAGGCATTTTGAATAAAGAAACTAAAACACATACGGTCACTTCTACTACCGTGCAGTGCATACTCAAGTCCAACACTTACTCAAATGCTATCGGCACGAGGCATTCCTGTCTAAGGCAATCTAAGTCTGAGCAGCTTTGAGTGGTCATTGCTGAGTTTTTGACTTGAACTAAGTAAACTCAAACTTGTGGCTATCTAGATGTTCTATTGTCCTTCAAAGAAAAGCAAAAGGCATATACAACTCTCACACCCTTAAATCTCTAAGGAGAATAACATGTTGCTGAGCAAGACCCTTTAGTTGTAGGTATTTAGTAGCCTGATATAGATTCACCACCCTTGCTTTGTGATATACTCATACTCTGAATTCAAAGCAACCTCGTACTATGAGTGGAGAGCCAGGAAGCTTCTTAGTCTGCTCCCGGACTATCGGTCCTGGGAGTGTATATCCATATTACTGTTCACTTAGAGACTAGGAGGAGGCTGGTGTGAAGATCCTATTTCAAGTAATGTGAGAAACAGTTTGACACAAATGGGAAGATAACTATTAACTCACGGGCACTCTTGTTGGTAGCACCTTGCTTGTGTTTAGTTCTCTTTAAACCTCTGATGTCCACTACAACTATTACTTCTTTGCTGATATTCACAGGAGTGTAGCTTTATTTCTTGTCTTCAGCTTGACTTCTTGGCTACATTAGTGCTACAAACGATCTCAACAAACTATTGTGTTCTCAGAGTACAACGTTTCCGACCGCAGTTTCAGTGCAAAGAACTCTTTCAGTTTCCTCTTATACAGAGTTCTTACGGCACCAGAATGATTGGCGTTTTGGTATAAAAATCTGTGTGAGATCTTAGCTGTAAATACTAGTCATAAAACATAGGACAATATTCTCATAGAAATTGCATTTTCTAGCAGTGAGGTGTAATAGCAAGTTTTCTCTCTTGCAGTTGATTTACTTAAATCAGCAGCTAGCACATGCATAGTTCTTACTAAAAGACACTAAGGAGTATAACAGAAAGTCGGTCTATCTATCTGATTGTAAAGGAGAGATTCTCAACCTGGGAGTCTTGACCCTCTACCCTTTCATAGAGACCATATATCATATGTCCTGCATACTAAATATGTACATTATAATTCATAACAATTGCAAAATTGCAGCTATGAAGTAGCAAGAAATAGTACAAGGAATAGCAAGAAGTAGAAAGAGTTTTATGGTGATGGAGTCACCACAACACGAGGAACTGTATTAAAATATTGCGCCACTAGGAAGGTTGAGAACCACTGTTCTAGAAAGAACCTTCAGAGACTGGGAGGAGACACTCCAAGTCTTCTGGTGTTCAGAGTGAACATGATTTTTACCTTAGTATTAGTGCAATGCTGAGTTGATGCCTCAGTAACTAGGGTCTCTAGATTTCTGTAGTCATTGTAAAGAAACAGACAAAAGATAAGAGATGATAGCAATTTCAATTTCCATAATGCATTATTTTTTTAATATGGTCTAGACCTGTGTAACCCTATATAATATTTATTTAGGCATCCATTCTTTTAACATCTTTCAAAACCACAGATTTCTATTCATTCAAATCTAGCCCTTGTCATTAGATACTCTTCTCAAGAAGCTCCTAGCAGACTTTGGCACTCTGGGCTTTTCTTGCTGTGATGCTTTCTTTTATGTTCCTCCTTATAAATCATCAGGTGCTCTCGACTTCTCTTTTGGTCCCTTCTATTGTTCTCACCCTCTGGAGAACCTTCCAGGACTCCGAGTCCACCCTTGCTCAGTTATTTCTCTCCCTGTCCTTGGTATTAATATGTCTAATTCACTCCATTCCTCTCCCCTTAAATACCACCAGTGAGTGTCATTAACTTGACTGGCCTCAAGGTCATGAGTCCAGCATCTATGTATAACATAGCCACAGATGTGTGAAGTAGACTCTCCAGACCCTGCAGAAAGAAAGGGAATGATCTCCAAACACATCTTACTACTAAGCCAGCCCGCTACTCATCTCTTTTCTGCTTCACTAAACAATGCTTTGATATACCCAGTGGCTGGAGAGGAAAATCCAGAGACTTTAATCTCTCTTTCTTCCCGAAATCCATTAGAAGAACTGGAAGCCTCAGACAGTGGTATCTCCCGAATACACTGCTATCTTCTAATGTTCCCCTTTCCTCCTTCTGCAACCTCTCTGACTTATGCCTAGACAATTTCAGTGGTTCCATCTCTCAGTCACTCTTCACAAATGTATATAAAAGCAGCCTGGAACATAACCCGTCTGAGACTTTTTTGGGTTTGGTTTTGTTTAAAATCTTCAGTTTCTTCCTGTGACACTTAGAATGCCTTCCACACTCCTTACCAGTATCTGCCAACTTTGGAGTGATTTTCAATCTTGGTTCCTTTTGTCCTTGTTACTCTTCCTCTTACTGTTCTCCAGCTTAGGTAACTTTTTGCTTTCGCTCTCGCTCTCTCGCTCTCTCGCTCTCTCGCTCTCTCGCTCTCTCGCTCTCTCGCTCTCTCGCTCTCTCGCTCTCTCGCTCTCTCGCTCTCTCGCTCTCTCGCTCTCCCGCTCTCCCGCTCGCACTCTCGTTCTCGTTCTCGTTCTCGCTCTCTCCCATCGTTCTTCACCCCCGTCTAAATTTTAATCTAAGTCTAAATCTAAATTTCAGTTTGACTTGTCACTTCAGAGATGCTTGCTTTCTGAAGCCACCTTTTCTTCCCTGGTCTCTTGTTTCAATTTTTTTTTTTCATGACATCGCAACATGAGTTTTGAAACTTACAAAGGAAAACAAATTCCCAGTTCGTGAGCCTCTGTTGGAAACATATTAAATATTCAAACATTTGTTCTACAAATAGTTATTATGCCTGTATATTTAAGGCCTGGATCCCATATTATCCCACACTACTATCGATTATTTTGGAAAGGAATGTTTCTGGAACTCTGCACACCTGTAAGGTATTTATCTACTAAAATTCAGCTAAAGTTACCCATGGGCCTTTTCCTAATTCAGCCAGAACTAGTTTCTTTGTCTTTTTCACCCCTATCCTTAGACATAGTGACCACCAGGAAAGGGGAGTCAGGAAGAGTATGGGAGTCAGTAAAGACTAGAGTGAATCAGGGACTTCTGGACATGACAGATGCTGCTCTTGTGAACTCCAAACAGCTCTGGTTGCTTGCACAAGATTCAGTCAGTCTACATTCTAGTACTGAGAGAGGAGCCACTTAGAGTCTTGACCTCTGAGGAGCTACTGACATGTGATGGCTTCTCAGGGAGGGTTCGTTATCTATTTTTTAATTGAATATTTTCTTTATTTACATTTCAAACGTTATCCCCCTTCCCGCCTCCCAAACCTCCTGTTCCATTCCCCCACCTCATGCTTCTATGAGGGTGTTCCCCCACCCACCTCCCTGCCTTCGAATTCCCTACACTGTGGCATTGAGCCTTCACTGGACCAAGGGCCTCTCCTCCTATTGTTGCCCGACAAAGCCACCCTCTGCTACATATGAGGCTG